AAAAAAAATAAAAATGGATGATCTAACTTTGTTACCAACAATCATTCTTTGTTTTTCCAAGGATCACATATAAACCAATTGTTGAATTATTAATTTTAGCTTGATGGCTTTCCATAGACTATTGTTGATTTAATAGAAACCAGAATCTTAAGGCATATAAGCATCTTCAATTTTATTATGTAGTCCTGATTCTGATTACCTTTTCAGATTACATTTGGATGGATTTTGGTTTTCTTTTTTGCTCTTTTGGTTACCTTTTTAGATTACAATTGAGTGGATTTTTATTTTCCTTTTTGTTTTTTGGTTACCTTTTCATATTACATTTGGGTGGATTTTGATTTTGATTTCCTATCATATTCTTTAAGATCAAGTTTTGAAGAACAAAATCATTCATGGATTAGTAATGGGGACACTCAGTATTTAGCAAAAAATGAGAAGTTATAATATTTAATTACCTAGGAACATAATAATATCAAACATGCTGAATTGCTGCTTTGATATCTGCTTGTCATGGCCATGTTGAACTTCTGATGTGTTGGGCGATTTTTACGTGCCATGCACGTGGAAGTTTGTGTTTGACTGATTTACAGCTTTGTATGGCGGATATTTTTATTTTTATTTTTAAAACAAAAGATAACGTGTTTCATGTAATCGTCCTGATCTAGGCTTGCGTTTATGTGTTAGGTTGATGTGATTGATTCACTTCCTGAAGTTTACCCGAAAGTGGAGGCTTGGGTGGAGAATGTGATTATGGAGGAAGGAAACGCAACAATCCTGACGCTCTTTGTTTGTCTCCTTACGGTTCTTTACTTGCGAGAGCGTCAAAGGAGACATGCTGCTGCTGGTGACGGAGGAGTTCCCCCTGTGGAGCAGGCTGCTGTACCTCTTGGTTAAATATATGAATATTCTGCTGGAAGAATATTCTGCTGGAAGATGTATAGGAGTTCTGATTTTCTAATGTTATCCCTTTTGCATGTTGTGCAATCGAGGACAGTCTCGGCTTCCAATTTTAGAACTACAGATGACAAAGGATTACAGAATCACAGGTTGAAAAAGGTCTTGTTGCATAATTTTTGTTGATGAAAATGCAGTTATCACCTCATTTTTGTATTGTTGCTAGTTGTGCTTAATGGGAAAGATTAAATTTGTGCTTTTGAGGGAATACTTGATACTTCTGCTTTTGGTAAAAGGTGATTTTTTAG